AAGTTATCCGCATTTTGCTGAGAAGGAAAGCGAGACACAGAGAGGCTAAGTAACTTCCCCAAGGTCACACAGCTAATAAATGATGGAGCTGGGATCGGAGCTCACATTCTTAACCACTCTTATATAGTCTCTCTAGCAGACACAGGAGGTCTTGGCCTCATTGGCTTACATTCGCAGATAAGTAATTTCAGATGGTCAAAGGTGGTAAGAAAAAAAGTAATAATAATAAACAAGGGTAATTCAGTAAAGACTTCCCAGCACCAGCAGGGAAGAGTAGCTACTTTATATCAGTTAGAAAAGCCTCCACTGAGGGGTCATCTGGGTTGAGACCTGAAGAAACCAACCGTGGGAAGGTATTCAAGAAAATCGTTCCAAGCGGAAGGAAGAGTGAGTACAAAGGCACCGAGGCAGGGCCAGGTTTGGCTGAGCATAAGAGAGAGATGATGGACCAGGAACCAGCTGATATACGGTTGCGCTTTTCAATCTGGGTTGCACACCACTGCCGGGGGATCTTCCAAAAATACTGGTCCCTTGGCCCACGCCCAGAGATTCTGAGGAAATCGGTCTGAGATTTGGCTTAGGCAAAAGGAATTTTAAAAGGAGATGGTTGCAGTGGTCCAATGAGGGATGATGGTGACCTGGAGCAGGGTCGTAGCATCTCTCCTTCAGCCGCTGCTCCCTCCACACAGGATTTTAAATGGCTCCGGGCTGGCCCCTCCCCCTCACAGCCCGTCTGTGGTCCACAGGAGCACTCACCTTCTTAGCCCGGATAACCCAAAGGCTGGGATGCTCAGCTGCAAGTGGACTGGGAGGGATTTGGCACCAGTGCACCAGCCCCACCTCACTGCTCAAACATCTGTCAGTCTTGTTGAGGGTCCCACTGAAGCTCTTACCAGACACATCAAGAGGAGTAATAGGTTGCCACAACTTTTTCCAAAGAAAACATCATCTCAAAGTCTTTAATCTCTGGCAACCCAACCTTGTTATATCAAAGTGAGCAAATCCACGAATTCTTGGCCATTGTGGTCCCTGTCACAGCTCATTTCGGGAGGTGGCATCTTTGTCTTCTTGCATTCATCAAGGTCGTCCAGAGGAAGAGAAACAATACAAAATGTATAAATAGAGAGAAAGAGATTTGTTTTAAGGAATCGGCTCACAAGATTATGAGTGGTCGGCGAGTCTAAAATCCGCAGAGTAGGCTGGCAGGCTGAAGACTCAGGCAGGAGCCAAGGATGCAGGTCAAGTCTAAAAGCTGTTTCCCGCAGAATTCCCTCCTGTTCAGGAGAGGTCAGCCTTTTGTTCTATTCAATCCTTCAACTGATTGGATGAGGCCCTCAGATTATGGAGGGGAACCTGCTTTACTTTCGAAGTCCATCAATTTAACATCCAGAAAAATGTTTAACCAAATATCTGAGCATCGTGGCTGAGCCAGGTTGACACATAAAATTAAATATCTCAGACAGGAGGCTACCCATCTTACATCTTCTTACATTATTATATTCATAGAATATTTCCAGAAGAGTACAAAAAAATCTTTTCACCAAGGGACTTTGGCTTTAGTGTAAGAGAGATAACTATTTTTTCTCAAACTTCTTTTTTTATATCTTTGACCTTTTTGTCATATATATATATGTTTTTCAAATAAAAAAATATTCTATAAAAAAAATGGATCAAAGCGATCATTGGATTGCGTTTTATTGGCCATCCACAAACTGCTTTCTTCCAATCATGCTTTAGGACGATGGAATGAGGACACAAGCCTACACGAAGGGACATTACAAGGAACCTCCACTCATCAGAGAGCGCCGTTGACATTTGCTACACACCTCAGTGTCCTCCAGAGAACATAATACTGATGTTAATGCCAAGAATGGCTGTAGTTCTCTTAGGTAGTACTTGGCGGCTTTTCCTCTTAGGAAGACTGAATGGTGTTACTAGCCAGTCTCCTTTCCTGTAACGGACACATAAAAGCGATCACATGCCTAGCCAGACGTAACCATGTTCACTTTTAACCTCTAAACACAATTTTGTGTTCTCGCCTTTATTTGTCTTTCTAGTCCTGTTTTTTTTTTACCTTTTATTATGGTAAAAATTTTCAAATATATACAATAGAAGAAAAAATTGTAAACTATATCCTTATGTACCAGTCACCCAACTTTATCCATTATTCAGTGTTGGTCCATTTTGTATTACAGACCCTTCACACTTTCTTTCAAACACCACGAGATATTTCTTCATTTTTTTAAAGATGAAATCTAATTTTCATACTATAAAATTTGCTTTTGTCAAGTGTACAATTTAGTGGTTTTTTAGTATATTCACAAGATGGAACCATCGGCACTCTATAATTCCAAGACATTATCATCAGCCTGTACCCATTAGCAGTCACTCCCATGCTCCCTTTTCCTGAAAATTCACAACAGAAATGTAGTTTGGCTGCTTTACCAAAGACCAAAATAACGATGGCTTAAACCAGATTAAGGTTTACTTGTCTCTCATGGAAGAGTCTGAGCATGCACAGTCAAGGGCGGATTGGGGACTGCATTGGAAGTCCAGGTTCTTTCCACCTTGTTACTCAGCCATGCTCACCATTTGGCTTCCGTCCTGTGGTCCAAGATGGCTGCTCCAGCTCCCACCATCAGGTCCACATCCCAGCCAGGTAGAAGAAGGGAAAGGAAAAGGGAAGAGTCCCTTTGTTCTAAAGGTGCCACCCAGAGGTTGCTCTCATCATGTCTACTCGCATTTTCATTGAGCAGACTTGGATACTTGGCTGCATCTACCTGTGAGGGAGACTAAAACAAAGTAATCTTTGGCTGAGAGACCAGATGCCCAGATAAGACTTAGGGGACCTGTTACTGAAGGAGGAGGGGACAGTGAGTAGTCAGGCTTAGAAGACCTAGAACAACAGGTAGGTTCAGCCATGAATGGGAAGAGCCACACTGAAGAAGTAGGAAAGCCGATGAGCCTGGAAAGGAATGGAAAATAGGGAACTCTTGCCTGGTCACCTTTATTTTCTCTGCGAAGCGAGACTCAAAGTCATCTGAGAGGCTGACTGTCAGTGTGCCGAGAAGAGAGGTTTGCAAAGCTCTGTCCCCGGCATTGTTTACAATCCATCAGGATGGAACAGCAGCCACACACTTGCAGATACCCTGAGAGGGTTCAAAGAACAGCTGTGCTTTTGGAGTCTTTTGAGTGTCATTCCCAGCTCTGTGCTTAGATGCTATATGGCTTTGCACAAGACAAGAAACCTGTTTCTCAATGGCCATAATAATGCCCACCCTGCCTTCCTCACAGTCCTGTTTTGGGTCCCACAGGAGAGCTGTGAAGGTGCTTTGTAAGTATGGAAAGTGAGACAGATGTGGATGGACATCATCATGAAGGGACAGAGTTGTCAGGGCAACTCCGAGTCTCGAGGAGAGGCAGGAATGGACCAGAAGGAGAGGTCGTGGGGACAGGACAGCCTCCCACACAGGCTGCCATCTCCCGCCTGGCCCCTCCAGGAGATCTGGGCTCTGCCCGCCTCTGGCCAGCATCAGAACCCTTCTGCTGCCTGAGTGATGGTGACAGAGGAGGGGACAGCCCACCAAGCAGCCCACAGATGCTGGGAGTCAGCCTCCGTTATGTCTTGAGATCGCTATCACAGAACCTTGGCCTCATCCCCTGCCCTTGGCCTTGGAAGCTCTCCTGGGACCTCTCCCTGACCCCAGGGCACTTCCCTGTCTTCTTGGCCCAGCCCAGTAAACAGTGTGAATTTCTCCACCAAGCCTTTGGCCTAGCAGAGCTTGCCATGTCCAGTGTGTGCACGCGCGCGCGCAAAAGCACACACACTCACTGTCTTCATACACGAGCACCACATATGACACACCACAGATACAACACGCAATGAGTATCAAACACGTACAAACATACCACGTACATATACCAAACTACACACACATGTTTCACACACTTCACACAAACGCAACCACATGCACATGCCCTACACATACACGCCATACACACGTACACACTCCCTTCTTTCTAACTGGTCTCTCTCTATCCCATATCCATTCAGCTCTCTCTACAGTTGCTCAGGTGATTTTTCTAAACACAGATAAGGCTACTTTTTAGTTTAAACTCCTTTCCCTCCTCCAGTGGCTTTCCAGAGACTTTGGGCTAAAATTCAAGCTACTGAGGCCATCTATAGTCTGTTCCCTGTGAGCCCTTTCAGCTGTCCCCCACCTTCCAGCCCCATTGGCCAATAATAACCAACGGCCCATCCCCCACCCCAGGCAGCCCCCAACCTCCGCTTTGCCCTTCTGCAGCCTTCTCCAGAGATCGCCCTGCTGCTCAGTCCTTCTGAAAAGCACACTCATTCTTCCAAACCCTGCTCAGAGCTCACCTCTTCTACCAAGATTCCCTGACTCCCCAAGTAGTAGCCCCCTTCCTCTTCTAGGGGTATGCAGTGGTGTTGCAGAAAAATCAGACCGGCGAGAAACCAAGTAGCACTGAGTGAGTTGGAGAACTCAAGTTTATTATGCCGGCAGTCCCAGAAGAGCTAGTGCTCTGAAGATCTGGGCCCTGAGCTCAGGGGCAACCTTGATTTTGTAGGGCTCATCTGTGCAGTTACAGTTGGCATGAGTCGATCGGTTAATTTTCCCTCAGGCGGTTACAGAGCATGAGATTCTCAGACAGGAATTTAGGCAAAGGGGATACATCTGTTATCCAGACAGAACAAGCATAAGGGAGGGTGAGTCTTCAGTTGATCTCGAGGTCACCCTGCCCTTCGGCCTATGCGGCAAGCATGTCTACAGAAGCAGAACAAGGAGCTGATTACCAGGTCAGCCATTTGAGTAGAAAATTCCTCTTCATTGGAGAGACTTGTTTCCTACATCTGTACCCCTTGCTCGCCGGTGACCTTCTCAAAGTCACTCCATATGGGGCACTGGGTCCTGGCATTGGGCAGGTGCTCGGTGAACGCTGGGCAGGTGGCACTCACCCTCTCATCCCCGCCCCCACAGATCAAAGTAGAAAACCAGCATGACTACCAGGACGTCACCAGCATGGTAGCGATGGCCAAAACCTACGCCACCACCGAGGCCTTCATCGACTCCAAGTACGACATCCGCATCCAGAAAATTGGATCCAACTACAAGGCTTACATGTGAGTCCCTGGGCAGCGGCTGGGACTGCGGGGAGGGGTGGGAAGAATGGAGATTAGAGATGTGTGTCCAGCCGTGTCTCCCCCACCCCAGGCAGAGACCCCCTCAGCACGTCACGCCCTTTCTGACTCCTTTACTGACCTTCTCTGGTCTGTACAGCTGAGGCTGATGTTCCATCACGGCTTATCCCAGGGCGGAAATCTGTCTACCTAAATGAGGACTATCTCCCCAGGGGAAGAAAGATGCCTTGTTGGGGTTTGGGGCTTGGTCAAAAAGCTGAAGGGATGAAGAAGTACAAATTGGTAGTCACAAAGCAGTCATGGGGATGTGGAGTCCAGCATAGGGACTATAGTCAACAATATCGTAATGGCCGTGCGTAGTGCCAGGTTGGACCTAGAGTAATCGGGGGATCACTTTGTAAATTATACAAACACCTGAAACTAATATAAAATTTAAAAACAAATTTAAAGAAAAAGAAAGACACCTGGCATGTCTGAGGGGAACTTCAAGTATATACAGGATGTATGTCATAGGAGACAAGACTGAAAGAAACTTGAGGACAAATGAAGGAGGACAAATGCCTAGTTGAAGGTTTTGAATTGTCTTCTGTTCTCTTCTGAGCAGAAAAGTCACATGATCTGACTTGTATTAATAAAAAGATGGCTCTGGGGCCATGGGCTGCAAAGGGGTTTCTCTGGAATCAATAAGACCAGTTAGGAGATTGTATCATATTTCTCTGGCTGCAACAGAAACCACATCTGACTAATGTGATGGAGCTTTTCAAAGAGAATGTATTAGAAAACTATGGTGTTTATCAGAAACTTAAATGAACAAACAAACAAAACCACTAAATTATCATTATCAGAAATATTAGGATCCAGGGCAGCCCCAGGGATCATAGCCAGAAGCAATGGACGATCTTCATGGCACTTCGATCGGGAAGTGAATCTGCCCCAATCACTTTCAGGACTTAACTCGAGTTTATGATTTCACGGAAATAGTGTGGATTAGTCCAACTTGGGTCACAGGCGTTTGGTTAGAAAAGGGCAGGAAACCAGTAAGCAGAGTCCCACCGAGATGGCATGCAGTATGGGCAGGGTCATTCCCCTGTGGAAACGGAGGTGCCATGATTAAGGGAAAAGGAATGAGCGACAGAAAATGCAGCACACATTCGCCCCAGGGTGGGGGTGGCTGGGGCACGGCAGAACTGATGCCGGAGCTGTGGCTCTCAGGACAAGTGGGCGTTCTTGGCTGGGTGAGAGGGCTGGGTCTTTAGAGAGGTTTTCTCTGCTCCGAGGCCTCTCTCTGTCACTTTGGAATGTTGTTGTTGGTTCCACTTGAACTGACAAGACCCCGGAGAGCCAACCAGGGCCTGTTTGCCAAGAATTTATGGAGCGCTGACTGTGCACATGGCTCCATATTGGAGGACCGCGACGCCTGGCTCTGGATGGTTGGAAGTTTCTATATGCTTCTGTGCAATGAAGCTTGTGCTGCAGGTCAGGGTCAGCAAACCACAGCCCACATGCCCAATCCAGCTGCCACTGTTTCTGTAAATAAAGTCTTAACCATCACAGCCATACATATCCATGTATGTAATATCTAGGGTTGCTTTTGCACTGCCTGGATTGCCTAGACCAGGGGTCGGCAAACTTATTCTGTAAAGGGCCAGATTGCGGGCCATACAGTCTCTGCTGTAACTACTCCATTCTGCCATTGCCTGGGTAGCTGGAGAACATGCAGGCAGTTGACCTCTAAGGAAATATGCCCTGGAAAGGGATAGAGCCAGTTCTCGAGGAATACTTCTGCCCTGTCCTGCCAATCGCTCTTCCACCCATTTACCAGGCCATACCTGTCACCACTCTCAGCGCCCCCGGGGTGATGAGATTGTCCCCTCTGCCCACTCTGCGTCAGGGGACATCCCAGTGTGGCAGTCCAGCACATTCCGAAGGCCTCCGCCGTCTCTCGTGATATCACTTCCCTCCCGTCCTCACTGTTAGACTTTCCACTTGACATTGACGACACCTTGTCCCAGTTTCTCTTCTTGAGGATTACCTCACTGCCGCCTTGTTGATGCTGAGCCTTTCTGCCCTGACAGCTCCAATCCGTCATTAGTTATGGCGTTTCCTGGACCTCGGCCTGGCCCAGATCCGAGGGAGGGGGTTCGTGTCAGGCCTCAGTGTAGAACGTCCTCTCCACCCCTGACCATTCAATCTCCTTTCTGGCCTCCTTCCTGCCCTGCACTCAGGCCTTTGTGCCTGTTGCTACAGGGGTGTCATTGTTTTCAGACCCTCTCAGCAGACAGATCTAGGAAAGCTGTGTGTGTATCTTAACCCGTGTATACACACATATCTGTAATTATTTCTATAACAATATCCGTCTATGTCTAAAGCTAAATGGAGACATCATATTGCTGTCTCAGACTTTGATATCGTGCCACATGATTCATCTATAACTTCCCACTCCAACAGGGGAAAACCTGGCTCTCACCATCCACCATCCTTTTACTGACTTGTTCATTCCCAGTACACGTGCTCAGTTGCAAAACCGTTAACCCATAGCCCTACGAGAAACGCTACCAGCTTGCGTAGTCATACAGTCTCCACTCATTTCCAAGGTTACTTAGGTCGGCTCCTTCACCCCAACCCCCTCCTTCTTCATTGAGAGAGGTCAGTGTCATACATTTGCAATATAGACAGAATCTTTTGTCACAGTCTACATTCCATCCTACATGGCAGCAGCTGGATCACATTTGAGCCAGCTCACTGTTTTCCCCAAGCCTGTGACGGGCTCTGCCATGGACAGTCATAGCTAAAAGCGTGGAGTTTCTCAGATATGGTTTGGTGGCTTCTGCCGCTAAGTGGGAATGATAACGATAATAATGTCCACGTCATTAAGTTTTGTGAGGCTGAAACAAGCCAGTGCTCGCAAAGCCCTTAGACCCATGTCTCACACATAGAAAGCACTCATTAAATATCAACTCTCACTCTCATTATCTTCCTGGAAGGAGAGCAATCTGGCTGTGTCCCTTCCACTCCTGGCATTTGAATGCCTTCTTTTCTTGTCTCCACTTACCAGAAAATAATAGCAGCACCCATTATACTATGAGATCTGTGGGAATATTTCCTTTAATCTACACACTACCGTTTAAGGATGGTACTTTCATTATTCCCACTTTACCAACGAGAAAATAAAGTCTCCAAGTTGTTGTCCATGGTTATACAGCTAGAAAATGCTAGGACCAAGATTCGAACCCACATCTGCCTGATTCAAGTCAGTTTTACCTTCTCTTACCACTGTATAGATCCCATTAAAGCAAACCCTACTCATCTCAATCGCTACCTTCTGGGTCAAATTAAGAGACTCTGGTTTCTTCTTCGTTTCCCCCAGCGCTCTTCACTCATTTTGCATATTGATAACCCTACCATGCCTATACTCTGGTTTTAGGCTAGTCTACCCTCCTGGATAGTCAGCAGCCTGAGTAAGGGGCATCTCTGCACACCCAGATTATTTCCCAGGACACAGGGTAGCCCAGTGAGTGTTTGCCAAATTGAATTGAGCTGAGTTGAGCTGAACCGAATGAAACTAAACTGACGTAAAGTTCATCAATGTCGCTGCACCCCTTAGTAATTATGACTGCTATCAGCCGCCATCTAGTCTCAGCATCTGCCATCCTCAGATACATTTTATTTTATTTTTTTTTGAAGGATATATTTTTGTAGCAATTCCTCTCCCCAGTTCACCCTTTAATCCAACCGCATGCCTTCTCTTGGCCATAAAACAAATCGCTTTACCTCTGCCACTTTGCTGAGCCTAAATTTGCCATCGGAGGTGAATTGTCTGGATTTTTCCCCCGCATACACACAGTCGCTTACCCACCTACTGCATGCTAGGTCCCACTAGACATCAGGGGATCATTCATACATGTCTCCTGCCCTCAGAGAAAACAGGACACTAAAGCAGTCATTACAGGTGAGATGAGCATCGCTAGGCATTGGTATAGGGTGTGATGTAGGGGGCCCCACTCTTACTGGGGAACGTGGGCTGCCAAGACGTCACGTTGCAGATGAAAGCTGAAGGATGAGTAAGACTTAGCGAGGCAAAGATTAAGACGAAGACTGGCTCAGGCAAAGGGAAGAAGATGTGTGGAGGCCTCGATGTAGGAAAGAGCCATGGGCATCAGAACACCTGCAGGGGGTCAGCTGATGCTGGAGCAGAAAAATCAAGGAAACTGAAGGCTTTCCTGCTCTTCACCATGGGAAAGGAATCACTCCTCC